CACCATTCAAACTTATTCCAACCTTCGAAACACTCAAAACAACATCAAAACACCAAATCTCCCTCGGATTCAAGCCTAAGGATGTCCAAACTTCTGAATTCCGCAAACGATGCAAAAACCTATCAAACCTCATCCGAATGACCTGAAATTTTGCACACCTGCTCTGATACCACTTTGTCACGCCCCAAACCTGGGGAGTCTTGGCTGGCACTCGGTGCCGTACTGGCCCGAGCGAACCATTCTGTAACTCATTCTTTCTATGACCACCGTGAGCCAACATGGCAACAACTCGTAATATATAACTGTAAGTGGGCGAACACTGTATCAATAAACTATCGTTCTTAAAATATGAATACATATGGGCAGTCAAGGCCTCTGACATACTGTACAAAATGAACCTCTGTCCATAAAGCCTCTAAGATTATTTGACATCAAATGGGACAGGGTACCGGCCTACCCATAAGTCTGTAGCAAAACTCTGACACGATGACTCATAGACTCGACTGCACTCCGAATGAGGTGGAGTCTTACCGATCCTTCGCTAAATGCTGATCTCGTCTACTATGAGGGCTCGTCAAATTGATTGTCTATACCTGCAGGCATGAATGTAGCGTCCCCAACAAAAGGACGTCAGTACGAATAATGTACTGTGTAAGTAAGGCGGAACTGAAACATAACAGTAAGTCAACATTAATTAAAGACATATAAGAATCAACCTGAAAGTGCCACCGTAATGCATACTTATTATACTCATATATATACAACGCTTCTCCTTGAGACTATTATCCATATCTTATGATGCATGACTGCCCAACTGATCAGTGGTAATTGCCCGACCGGCTGTAGCGCGATAGTAAATGCATGACTGCCCAATCAACCGTAGCTTGATGGTAAATACGTAACTGCCCAACCGGCCGTAGCTCGGTGGTAAATGCATGACTGCCCGACCGACCGTAGCTCGGTGGTAAATATATAACTGCCCAACCGGCTGTAGCTCGATGGTAAATACATGACTGCCGACCGACCGTAGCTCGGTGGTAAATACATGACTGCCTAACTGGCCGTAGCTCGGTAGTAAATGCATGACTGTCCGATCGGCCGTAGCTCGATGGTAAATATGTAACTGCCCAACCGGCTGTAGCTCGGTGGTAAATGAATATGTATGAAGATGCATGTATTACTATATTATGAACATTAACATCTTTATCAAATACCTCAATAGAGACTTAGGAACATACTTAGACATGCTTGAATATCACTTTACGGGAATGAATAACATAGACATCCTTAACTGCTAAGAGTAGAACCACTTATGGAATAGCATTATGTTTATGTATCGTTACTTGGATCATGCCAAAAGGAAAGAAGGGATAACCTTAACATACCTTAGTCGATTCTCTTGACAATCCCTCTAACATACGTTAATTGCGAGAAAACACGTGATGGCAAGATCGAAGTAGAGAAAAATTCGTATGATATTCTTGAGAAAGATTACACCGTACTCCCTTATAATTGCAAAATCTCACGTTGCTTAAGATGCTATGAAATCTCAGGTTTTAAAGTGTTGAAGATGCTATGAAATCTCACATTTTGAATTCTTGAAGAACCTTGAAATCTCACGTAGAGAGGCCTTATATTGAATGGGTGTGGGCCCCACTTCTTAGCCACATAATCCTTAATCTTACCACCTTATCATAGTGAATTTAAGAGTCATAAATGGGGATGGGGGTGCTGCCACGTGAGGGAGGGGTTAGTCTTATCCAACCATTCCTTAATTAATTAGGTAATTTCACATTGTCCAATAATTAATCAATTACCTACATAATTTAGAATTATCTCAAATTACTTAAAATACTACTCACTTTTAATACACTTTATACACCTTACTATTATGGTCATGTGGTACCATATAAAATCAATACATACACTAATATTTTATTAAAATATCCATTTAAATAAATGCACAAATTTTCTCAACTTCTAATGTTACTAATCTCATATAAAGAGTACAAATTTTCGTACGCTTAGTTCTTAAAGTGGTAAGAAGATAACCTTCTTTTCTTGTGAGAAAATAATTTTTTTCTTTATAATAAAGAAAACCTCATAAACTTTCTCATATTATGTGTATAATTTAAAGCATATTCGAAAGTAGTAATATTAATAGCTATATAAAATCATATTTTTTAAACTTTTTTTTTAACAAAAATTCCACTCCAAATACCATATCAAATGTATATAACGGTATCAAGGTTGTTAAACTTACAGGGTCATATAATAACATAGTCACAAATCCTGTATAATCTCATGAATGGTCTTAATCCCTTCAAGCTCATATGGATTACTACGACTTATCCTAGTATTAAAGTACGGGATGTAACAAATTTTGATTACATCAGAATCATTGTATCTTACTGATTTATGTGTCATATTTATTGAATTAATATAAAAAATAAACTCATTATAGATAAAGTACAATGTGTGATGTATGATTCATTGTAATGTTTTTTTAATTAAATGATTCATCGTAATATTTATTGTTTGTTCACTGTAATTAATAAATCATTGTAATGTTCATTGTTTCTTAATAATCAAATATTATTAATTGTATTTTTACTAAGAATATTCAATGTATGATGGTGAGAGAATAAACTATATAAGCAACATAGAAAATTTCTTGAAACCGTATCCAACAATGGCTTCTCATCTAATATGTATCATAAAATTAATAATGACAGATCAAATACGCAAATCATTATGTGAGTACAAAAGAAATCATTCCGCATGCACTCAAAACGATTTGCAGTTGTGGCTTGATGAAATTTTTCATTTGAAAGTTAGTCAAGGTACAATATCAAGCACACTCAAATTATCAGCTGAGTAACTTTCGGCTAACTTAGAAAAAGGAAGGGATATCAAGCGACACAAGTCAACAAAATTTTCAGACACGGAGAAGGTTGTTTATGAGTGGTTTCTCTAATACCAAGACCGTGTGAATATAACCGGAGAGTTAATTTTAGAGAAGGAGAGAGAACTTTTATATCCTCAAGATTTTAAGCACAACTTTTCTCAAGGTTGGATTGAGAAATTCAAGCTAAGACATGGTATCAAGTCATTTCGTCGTTTTGGAGAGAGTGGTTCGGTTGATATACAAGACATGAAGACGAAATTGGAGTCCATAAGGGAAAAAATATACCAGCTCCCTATGAAAGATGTTTTTAATATGGATGAAACTGGTTTGTTTTACAGGTTCTGATCATTCTCTTGCTACGAAACAACTTGAAGGTAGAAAGCAGGACAAAGAAATGCTCACGATTGTTATTTGTTGCAATGAGGATGGATCTGAAAAAATTATTTATGGATTATTGAAAAATATGCAAAGCCACGTTGTTTCAAGAATGTCAACATGAACAACTTGAATTGTCACTATCGTGCAAATAAAATAGTATGGATGACAAGTGTGCTTTTTGATGAATATATTTGTGGTTTTGACCACAAAATGCATGGTAGACGAATTTTGTTTGTGGTAGATAATTGTCCAGCACATACAAGAAATACTGAAGGACTACAAAATATTGAATTATTTTTCTTGCCACCCAACATGACATCAAAAAATCAACCTTATGATGTTGGGATAATAAGAGCTTTCAAGATGCATTATCACAATAGCTTTACCGTAGGATATTAGAAGACTATGAGCTAGGACAAACTGATCCAGGAAAGTTTAGTGTTTTGGATGCTATCAATCTTGCGATCGCGGCTTGGACGACAAATGTTCAGCAAGAGACAATAACAAATTATTTTCGAAACTGCAAAATTCGCTCGGGGGATGAAGCCTCAAAGAATTTAAGTGAACCCACTTGTGAAAACGACATTCATGAACTTGAGGTCATGATTAATGATCTAGGTTACCATAATAAAATGGATGTCAATAGCCTGTTGGATTATCCAGGTGAAAATGATACATGTTCTGAGGTCCAGAGTTTAGAAGAAATTGTGGATACCATAATGATACAATACCTTTGGAACCAGTTACGCGTAAGGAAGCACTTATCGCGTCTAGAATTCTTTACAATTTTTTGGTGCAAATCGAGAAGACAACACCGGAATTTTGGGATGCAATAAGAAAAGTTAGAGATGAGCTTCAACTAGATTTAAATTTTAAGAAAAAACAAAAAATACTAGAATTCTATTTCACTAATTGTCTTAGATATTTTTATAATTTTAAAGAATTATTAATTTATAATATTAATGGGACCATATATAAGGGTCTTCTGAAAATATATTATCTTATCGAAATCGGTAATTTTTTTCACTGGCCCAAGTCGGGACCGGAGAAAAATATTATCTTAGAGAATTTATTAATTTACCGATTATTAATTTGAAAGGTTCTCTACATTGAGAAATATTCTCTTATATTTCAAGTACTTAGAATAAAATCATGTTTAAAAAAAATTAGAGGAGTAATCCTTCAAAAGTTCAAATTATGAAAAAGTATGAGAAGGTCAATATGAATAAAGTCCTTTTAACATATGTTGCTTAAGCAAGTCTTCGATCGGTCGATGCACTTTATTCCTTATGGACCAATCAACCTTTTGTGCTGAGTAAAAGAAAGCCACGTGATGTTTGATAGTTCATCCCCAGATCCAAGAAGAAAGTTTAATGAGAGAATGAAGATTACCCTGTATTTGGAAAGAACTTACTCCTTAATGGGATTGCTCTCCCAACAGGGGTGTACCCAACTTTAGTCGAGGGGTACACCCTCGACTACCCTCCATCGCAAACTTATACCATGGAAAAAAGGGTAAAAGCACTTTTTATATAGTATATATCCAAATTATTGAATGCCATTGACTTATGCTCTTACCTTATGTTTAACATTTTTACATTTTATTGGATCTCCTTATGCAAATTTCTGGTTACGCCACCGTACTAATACCAACTAGCAAATACTATACGCTGAGGTTAGTGATCAAGAATAAGAGGAATAGCGAGAGAAAAGAGGATGAAATTTTGCTATATGCATTATCCTGTAGCATCGTGCAAACACAAGAGCAGATGCACAAGTAGTCAGTGGTAGGAATGTACCTACTACTTTTCAGTCAAGCTATATATGTATATCATTACACCTCAATCTCGAAGTAGATAAAGTCGACCATATGAATTATCAGTAACTATTTTGCTCATCCAATATAACAAGGTTTCCCTATAATTTGACTATTCTTTATGCTTGTTTGTAACCCTTTTCATATATCCAGACATGGACCAGTTACACTTTCACATAGGAAGTGAAAATATTGTAGAACATATACTCATATTAAGTTCTCGCTCATCGTCACTAAAGAGTAGTGAATGCAGTAGTACTCCACACACAACTCTTGAAATTTCAAATCTTCTCTATGCAAAATGCGTTTCTTCGAGGCAGTATACTAAATTGCAGTTCTGAATACTTTTGCTGATGAAAGAAAGCCTCAGAAAAGCCAATGCTTCTTTCTGCGCACTCTAGCAGGCACCTCTGTTGCACATCCAGATAAGAAGAGTAACAAACATATCAGCAACCAATGATAGGCAATTTCTTAAGGAAGATATGGGAACAGGACAGGCAGAGGCGTATATGTGAAAAGATCACTAAGATTTCAACAAATATTTAATTCTGAACGCATAATTTCAAAAGTGTAGTGGATTTTGTGTTGAGAAATAAAGATTGAATCCATCGAGAGTAAATTCTGGATCTGTTTCTGAGAACAAGGCATATACCTCCAATCTCGTACAGAGAATTGTAGTGCACTTCACTCCAGAAACTCAGCCACAATTCTAAAAATTAAGAAAAGCTGTTAAAAGTGAACATATAATTTATAAAGATTAGAGAAAATTCAACACCCTAAGACGAATTAAGAATGCGAACCAGAGTAAAACGCAGTCCTATTTTTGTATTCATTGACAACATACATAATTTGCTCACCACTAAACGGTTCTTCCATGGTAACTGGTAAGTATTGGAACAATGCATTTGAAACAAAGAATGATCCGCGTTGAACGTAGCCAACGTTACTTAAAAATCTAATTAGATTTTCCTAGATCATCACCAAAATAGAATGTTTGCCTATTTAAAAAAGATCAGCTCAAGAACATCCTCAAACAAACATGATCTAAAATTGAACTTCCGCCGAAGAATGCATTCAGTTACTATAGTACTCCCTCCATTCCAATTTATGTGAGCCCCTGGGCATGAAGTTTAAGAAAGAAATAAAGACTTTCATAACTTGTGGTCCTAAACAAGCCATAACATTTGTGTGGCTATAATTTTTTTCAAACTTGTGGGTTAAAACATTCCAGATTATTTGTGTGCCTATAGAAGGTTCTCGTTAAGGATATAATTGGAAGTTTAAGTGAAATTATTTTCAAATTTAGAAAGTGGCCATTCTTTTTGGCACGGACTAAAAAGGAAATAGGTTCACATAAATTGGAAAGGAGTAGTGCATGAAAAGAAATATCAAACACAAGACATCATCCGATGTTAGTTTGTTTGCATAGGATTATATCTGTTGGTAGTAACAGCTAGCTATCTATCTATGTAAGTACATGCGCACTGCATCATGTGTGTGTAAAACAGACAAGAAGTATGTACCTCTAGAAGGCTGTATGTCCTTAGGAAGGATCTCAATGTAGCCATTTTCGCGAAAAGAAGTGACCAAACATATTTTTACTCCATACTGCAATCAAAATCCAACAGAATGCAAAGAGTTACAACACCAGCAGAGTGGCCCACCAAAAAAAAAAAAAAACAAAACGAACTGACGTGTATATAGGAAGCTTAAGCAGCATAAGAAAGAAGAAACCGTTAAAGCAACTTCAGAAAGCAAGAGTCTAGAAATCCTTTAGATGGAAAATCTCCAGATCTAACCTAGTGATTCAGAGGCTAATAAAACTTGATAAAATGTAATATAATTTCTTTATATCCATTATAGGTCCCTGATCATGTAACCTTTGCTTCTCAGACCTTATATGTTCTCCAAAATTTACTGTACTTTGCGGCAAGAGTAAACAAGTTCACATTCGTGAAATTCTGCATCCACACAAGGTGGGTTTTTAGGAAAAGAAATAGCCACCAGATGTCCTGCTTTCTGAGTCGCTTTTACGCTTGGTCCCGTGTCAATGTTCTATTGTTAGTGTAGAGGGATAAAGGAGAGAGGAGATATATTGGAGATATTATTTATTGATAATACACAATACAGGCTCCTTATGTAAGAATCCTAATCTGGTTAAATTCAAGTACATAGTTATTCTCCTACAGTTAAGTAGAGAATATCCTAGAATACCATATAAAATATTCTACAATGTTCTAGTAATTAAATATAATAAATCTAGAATATCTACCATATAAACTACACTTACTTTTTTGGCAGAATGGCCTAATGGCCCCCTAAACTTACACCAAATTTTAAAGCCGGCCTATCAACTTCTAGTTTTTCCATTTTAACACCTCTACTTGATTAAATGAGTATTAATAAATACTTTTGACCGTCGACCATGCTTGTGTGGGTGATAACGTAGTTGACGTGGCCAAAATACGTGTAAATCACACTAGTATTGTTGTAAATAATAAAAAGATAAAAATAAAGAAGAAAGTGGTGGCAGTAGGGTGGGGGCTGTCCTGGTGGAACTGTGATGAAGATGAAGAGTAAGGAGGAGAAATTAAAATTTTTACTCATCAATTGATTTTTTAAAAAGGTAGGACCCACAAATTACACATGTCGAAAAATAAAAGGACAAGTATGTGATGCGTCATTCTGTCAACACGATTGAGAAACACGCTCATTCAAAGGTGTTTATTAGTTGTGCCTTTATCAAATAGAAGTGCTAAAATGGGAAAAACAGAAGTTAATAGGCAGGCTTTAAAATCCAGTGCAAGTTTAGGGAGCTATTAGGCCATTATGCCTTTTTTAATTTTCAATATTTTCGTTAAGCGATTGATTTCTTCGAATCGCTATCCTTTCACCCTGAAGGAAAGAGAAAAATCTTGTTACAATAACCTACCTAGGTTCAATCTCGAAATCGTCATGGTTGCCTATACAAAGTCTTTATCCATTTAGTTCTATTCGGAACAATTTTATTCCAATACTAATATGCGTATCAAGACAAATTATGGGCTTCTAAAACTAAAGATTCTCTAAATCTCACATTTGTACCTACAATTACATATTATCTCTAACCAAACTAAAAGCTCCTAACAAACATCATAGTTAATCTAAGTGTAACAAAGCTAAGCTTTAATTCCAACTATTTGGTATAGCCAATATGGATCCTTTGCTTTCTTTGTGTTTTACTCTTAATAAGTTTTACATTAGTTATGATAGATTGTAGATTTTTCTAAATAATTTTCTTTTATGTGATTTAGATTATTTCGTCTCCCTATTAACACATTTAATCATTATATTCTCACTCCTCCGCAAATGGAGGTCTACATAAAACACGACCAAACCATCTTAAACGACTTTCTTTTATGTTATCCTTATGTTGCTCGAACTCTCTAGAAATGTTGTCACACTCGTCTAAGATCCTCCAAAAATGCACTACTCTTGGAGGATCTGACATGCACCCGACAACATATTTGACGAGTCCGAGCAACATAAGTGCGTAACCCGTAGGAGGTGCACGCGTTACTTGCACCTCCTACTTGATATGATCATTTCTAATTATTACGTGTCCCACATTGCTTAAGGGAATGCATTGTTTCTCCTTATACAGTCTTGGGCGATCCTCATCCCATGAGCTAGCTTTTGGTGTTGAGTTAGGCTAGTGTCCATCTTCCTTACATAATACCATAGCCATGCTCATCCTTATTCTCGGTTTATCCAAAATTGGGCCCCCATGATATATTATCCATGTACCAAGATGTCCAGTCCTGCCCCAGAGGAGGGTGTGTTAGGTATCCCATATTGGTTGAGTGGATGAATTGTTATCTCCTTATATGATCATGGGGCAATCCTCACCTCGTTAGCTAGCTTTTGAGCTGAGTTAGGCCAACATTCATCTTCTTTATACTAATCTTGTCTAATTTTGATGATCACACATTCTTAATATCTGTATACTATCTAAAACATTACCAAACATTCATTCTCAAATAACAGCTTGTCTTGTAGCATCCTATAGAACTTGTCTTTCACTCTATTATATATCTTCTATCACACAACAATTCCGTAGCATTCCTCCATTCCAGCCATCTTATTATAATTCTATGAAATGGACCTAAATATGGTCACTTGTTCTAAGTTAAATGTTCTGGGAGAACCTCAGTAACTGAGAGTACATTCTCTTCCAAAATGGGTAGCGTCTATCTAAAAGCACACGCGCCTGTGAGGGATCATAGTTTGACCATTTGTGAATGGCGGCTATGCTATATCATTGCTAGCAAATTTTCATGTCAGTCGACTCGTGCAGCACCACACCGAGACGCCCTAGTAGATGGGGGACAGGTGCTCAAACTCTATGATGTACACATGGCGACAGTTTATGTCAATGACTATAAGGACACTCCAGTTAGAGTAAAGTTATATGTTTGTAGTATGTGATATCACAGTATCAACTTATGGTTATAAAGAAAATCACAGTACTTATACAAACCCTAATATCTTCGTCTAATTTAATCTAGATCACTAGCAATATTATAAAGGTGACCTTATGGGTTGTAAATGTGACTTCTACCTGCACGTGGTAGCATAGTTTAACATGGGACATAGTTCTCACACTATTGACTAGTCTCTCACAGCTCTGCTCTGATACAATCAGCAATTTGATTCCTTTCCTAGTTGAAAAAACTAGTGAAATTCATTTTTGCTCATCTAAAAGGATTCTTACCGAAAAATTTAACAAGACAACTTAATGAATTTGTTTTCACTCATCTAAGAGGATTTTGTTCTTACTAGAAAGCTACATTTCACTCATCTAACAGGATTTCCTCTGAAAAGGTTCCATGTTCTTGTTATTACTAGGGAACAACCAAAACAATTGTAAGTTATAAACCACCAAAACATGCTATACTGATTTGATGTCGGACGGGCCACACATCCTACTTATTATAGAGCATATTTTTAGTTCTAAAGCTGTCTTACAATGATCTACACCTGCTTACACATGTATTGAGTCATGTCACTGAAGCAGTTTGATGAAGAAAAGAGAACCTCACTTACTCTATCTGCAGCTGCTTGGAGAGTGATATGATCTCCCCATTCCCCCAACCTGGGTTGAACAAAAAATACCTCAGTTAATGGACTGTCAGGTCTTCTCCAGGTAAGACTATAGATTGAAACCAGAATTCACCTCTTCATCTTCTTCCGGTAGCTTTTGTATTTCATGGGAACATAACTTTCATATAACTTTCTGAAATGCTTTAGCTGAAACAGAACAGAAACCAGGATAAGCACATAGGATAAATGGAGTTAGAACTTAAATGGATTTGGAGTCTTAAGGATCATATTGATGGGGCACCATTCCGAGCAATTAGGTCAACCTCATAAACTATTACGTCTTAGAAGATATTGCGAACTGTTAAGAAAAAATATTGCGAACTGTTAAGAGAAAACAAAATGGTTTTTAGTAACCTACTATTCTGTATAAGTAGCCATCCTTCGAAAGACGAGTGCAAGGAAAACTCGAAGAAAAAAGTCAAAATGAGACCTACTAAAGAAAACCTCATATTGGTCACACAATGTTGTCGCAACATTTGATCTGAGAATAATTGACTTAACAACATTTGCAAGTCACTGGACAATAATCCAATGTACAATTGTTTGATTTGATAGCAGCAGAGATCTTGACCTATTTCCTGAACTTATACTTCTAAAATTTAAATATTCATGTGTTATACTCAAGAGGAACAAAAGTTGGTTCTTATCATAGAAAGAATGAAGAAAACCAAAAAAGTACGTGGAATGAGGTAAGACAGTGATACAAAGTATTAGGTAAATCTGGGGTTAATAGGGTTGGCATAGTTCCTATTTTTTTTAAAAAGGGGGTTGACATCATTCCTATTCGGCTATTCCCTAAACATTTTAGTAAGCGCTCCTATTCCCTAATCATAGTTTGGCAAAGGTTGAAATCCTTTTTTTTTGGGATCAATATTGATCCTTCTTTTGTTGATAAATTAAGGTAAAATCATTAAAGCTAGTACCAAGGAGGAGGTAATGCAAAACTACAGACAAAAAGTCTTACAATGACTCCATTACAGTTTCTTCATTAACAAGTCCAAGAAGTCTAGAAGCTGTGCTAAATTTTCTAACATACTCTCCTTACACCAGATATACAAATTGTACATGCATCTATATTTTACAAAAGATAAATGCTGTTTTTATCTTCCAAACATCTCTTTTTCCTCTCTAACCATATTGTCCATATGATGAGGGGTTCAACCTTTAGGTTCTGACCATGAATCCATTACACTTTTGAAATTGTAGTTCTTTTTCTCTTTTTGCAATTTTAGTGAATTCTCACATATATATCTGTATATACTTCATGCTGAAAATACTAGGATTACTCTAACCCATCGACTATATGCTACATCATCCACCTCTGCTAGTTCTACTATAAGCATTTGATATAATTATACAAATTTTATGCTGACAAAAGAAAGAATGTGAATTTCATTGTGTCAGACTTGAGGATTTTGAAAGAATAAACCAAACAAAGTCAACAGGAAAAGAAAAAAAATACTTGATTAAAAAGCAAGAGGGGACACATGACGTGTTCGTCCTCCGGGGTGCCCAATTCTAGAAAAAGAAAGGAAAAAACAAGACATGCGTGAGATTTAAATCCCCGAGCTCAATTCCAGAAAAAGAAAGGAAAAACAAGATAGACGTGGGATTTGATATCCCAACTTCACTTGTAAAGGTGCACCCAATAATCATGGCACCATAGGACTCTTTGAGCTTGGGTGCACACATATATCTATTTAAGTAGCCTTGAAAAGATATAATATTGTTATATATGATCTAGGAAAAGGAGCAAGGGTGCACGTAAACCCATACCCCTCCCCTTAGATACGCCCCTGGAAGTTACTCCTCAAAAGTCTTTCTACATATGTTAAGGGTAAGGATAAGTGTGAGATATCTTGTTTTAGAAAGCCTCGAATTTTCCTTTACAGAAGAATGGATATAGCCGACCTCAACTATATGAGATTGAGGGTAGTTGATTTAATGATTGGACTGATTAATACTAAAACATGCCCCGGGGCTTTGGTCTAGTAGTAAGAGCGTGATGCTTAGTTTATAAACATGTCATGCGTTTGAATGCTTCCGGATATAGAAGTTTGGCATTTACGTGGAGAAGAGTAGAGGGAGCGCCTGACCCATTATCCACCGAGTGTCGAACTGTGCGACGCTTGAGGATTTCTCGGTTGTCAAAACATGTGTGTATAGGTTCATATCCATAGATTGAGGAGGGTTTTTAAGTCTTTGAAGTTTGAACACAGGGAGGGTATCGTTTTAGGAAATTTGCTTTTTCTTAATCAGGATTTATGCAAAGCTACAAGTTCAGATATTTGATTAACTTTTAGGAGCCATAATTCATGTATTAAAGGAAACAATTGCCACTTATTTTTTCCAACTTTTCCTTTTCTGCTTGAATTTAAGAATTTATTCCAGTTGCTATTCTTTAGTTTCTTTGCGGTCCGCTGTTAGCTTCTGCAGAATGACTCATGCTTCCTGCTGCATAAGAACTTCAGTTAGCATTAGAACTTGCCTCTTATTGCATAAACATGAACACAATTTGATCTAAATGCCGGCACTAAATTGATTAAAACATCTTTGGAATTGCAATAGGTTGGTGCAACATCGATTTTTTTGTTAAACTCAGACATTTTGACATGGACTTAACAACGAAAGACTTTCCTTGATTCTACTAAACCAAGTCCTTGAACACCAGTAATTATAAATTTTTACCTGTTATTTCATCTCTTCCTTAGCTACATCTCAACCTTTGTATTTGGGCATTCCTATCATCCAGAAACTCTGTAAATGATCTTGTAAACCTCAAAACTCCCTCGTTCAACTAAATCTTTGAGTTTGCAAATAGATCACAAAAATATGACAGACTATTTAAAATCAGAAAACTGCAATCTAGCAAAAATGGCATTTTCCTATTTTCAATGGCCATTATGCTTGCAATAGGTAACTCTGATAAAGATAGCCTGCTGCATTTAGTTCAAACATGAGGTTACTAAAAGCACAAAAGCTACAAACAGTATTGACACTTTAAATTATCCTTCAGGTACACAACCCTCAAAAGCAACAATCTGTTTGTTTCTGATGGTTAAACTAATAACCTTACAAGAATCGCGGGAAAAGAACCTAAGCTGGAACATGTGATCATCCTAGAGAAAAAGGATCCTCGGACATAATCATGAAGTAGCTTTCATACCATCTTGTTTTATAACAGTGATGAGATGAAAAAGAAAATTTAATGCGCACACACCTGTTTGACAACCTCCTTTCTCACATGCTTATGATACTCTGGATTATGATACAACTGATCTGCAAGGGCTCGAAACTGTCCAATAAGTCAAGGAAATAGTCATAAAAAGCACACATGCCTATCAAGTGTAGCAATGGCTTGTTAGACTAGTTAATGGAGACTAACCTGGCAATTTCCATCTCCTTGAATTTGAAATTCAGCAAGCCCATTTGCTGCCAACCTGAATGATAGATAACATTAATTCACAAGAAGCGCATTTCTTGCTGATAGTACCCAAAAAAGTACAGAGATCCCTAAGAGTAACATGTCCAGCCTCTTTATTGTGGAGTTTCAAGCATGAATAAAGTTATAACTTTTGACTTCTCCCACAAATTATGATGTCAACTATGGATCACAAATAAGCAGTTTTAACTATCCCCTGGAGAAAGATACAGTGTAGAGCGACACCCTAAAATTTTTTTAAGCAGCGGGCTATATCTATTCTCAGGTTGCATCGTTTGAGCATACAGCAGTTTAAATTCTATGAAACCAAATAACATGGAAAATCCAACCCTTCGATTAGAGCCCCTGCAGTCATATATCTGGCTTGTCCATTTCAATTTGTGGTTTCAAGATCAATATTGTTCTTGTACTGTGAAAAGAAAGAAAAGAAAAAAAGAATGGCTAGGCAATTAACTTTCTAGCAAATCTGAGTAATGCCATAACCTAGCATATACAGACCTAAAAAAAAATTAATGAGCCAGGGACTACGAATTTGTTGAATGTCAAGCTTATGACACAATAAGTAATGTGATACACAACCTGCCAGAGAGCCTCTCATGGTCAAGTGTTGCATGATTAAAATCAGGTATCTGCCCAATAACTCTCGGAGTATGCTGCAAAGACAGTACGATTATAAGTGGAAAGTGATGGTAAGTAACATATGCTTAAACAGAAAACAAGTACAACACACACTATATCACTACTCACATCAGTGCAACTCTGTACAAAAACTCATTAACTAAGTTGCTCGTAAATCGAGTGCGCGTGTCCGATACGGGTGCGGATCTAGAGGCTAGATCCTTCACAATAATTTTAAGATTCGGGGGTACGGATTTAGGTACAGATACGGGTGCGGGGATTTGGCCAAAAATAATTCCAATATTAAAAAATAGAGTTATAAAAACGTCTAACTTATGAGACATTATGTGAAAAACTTACAAGGTATTCCGAGAAGGAGAAAATATTGAACAAGAGAAGAACCCGAGAAGGAGATAAAAGGAAAAGGACTGACATAGAAATTTCAATATACAAGGTATTCCATTTTCTTCAATATCACCCCAGCTTTTGTTTTGTTTTAAAAAATCATTGTATCTGCCCTGAAGTTCTCTGTTGATTTTGGTCAAAGTACCAAAAAATTGGTTGACCAGGTCTGGTACGGATCTCACACCCACACCCACGTCATCGACACAGGTGCGGCACCGAAAGTGAAGAATCCGATCAACTTAGCTCATTAACATATTTGTTATAATTGCAAACGAACAAAATGTCATAAGACCACTATATTTCTATAAATGATAGAAGAAACTATGACTCTGCCTGTGTGAGCTTGCTCACATTGCTGGTCCCAAGCCCGAGTAAAGGAGTAGGGCTGCGGTAGACTGACAACCAAGCTAAAACTAGCTAATTTCATCATAAGTTCTCACATTAACCGACCCAAACTTGCTTGGGGCTGAGGCATAGTTGTGTTGATGTATAGAAGAAACTCTATATTTTACAAAATAAGCTAATTCTTGATAACTTACAATGGAACAGTATTGGAACTATGCCTAAGCAGAAAAACAAAAGAAGACTCCTTCATACACATAGAAAATTCTCTTCTTATTACAATGCTTGCTACAAAGAATAATAATTTCGAGATAACATACAAAATTTGTCTAGTATAAGCAGCAAATATCAAATGTACCGGGATTGAGTCCAAATGAGAGAGTCGCTTGCCAAGCTTGCCCCCATACCTCAAAGCATTTTGTTCTTCTTCTTCAGCCAATATTTTCGCAATGGCATGATCATCCTCAGTACCTTGTGAACTGCTATTCAAACTAGACGCCGTCGAACTGGAGCTTTCTCTTGAGTTCCCATATTCGGTCATATTACAATCAACAACTTCTCAAAATAGACCAATACAGCAATAATTCCTAGCAAGCAACAATCCATGAGGTCACTTAAAAGATATGGAATAACTTTATTTAATAGCATTGATTGGTAAATTAGAACAAATGCTAAGTAGCATATAACTTAAATCATCCAAATAAAATTAGGATTGATACATAAGCTCCGCAAAAAAAAAAAAAAAAAAAAAAAACCCAACAACAGAAAATGGAAGAACTGTAATCTTTGCGAGGATCTATCAGATACTTGTCCGTATGAAAGACCCACAATTGGAATACGAAGTAATGTATCTAATTTTGGATGTGAATTTTGATCTCGATTCCTTTAGCCCTTCTTTTATAGCAAAGAAAAAATAAGATCAATTCATGAGCTAGATAGAGCAAAATTCGAAGTACCTTTTGGCCTAGTGACGAGGAAGAGAAACAAATGCAATTTTGATAATTCAAGAAGAAAGGAAGTAATAATGAGAATTTGAAAATTGAAGAAAAATAAAGCATAAGGGAGAGGGGTGGGTGCCGTAGTAGAGGAAAGATGGCAAAGGAAAGCGAAGAGTTGGTTGTGAGTCTTGTGAACGTGGGAACACTTGGATAAGAAGTCATTCCCTCACCTCGACAAGCAAAGAGATAAATGTTGGTCAACAAAACACGAGATAGAAACATCTTACTTGGGGTATTACCTCGTCCTAAATTTGTCCTATCATTTTAACCGTAAAAAAGGGAAGGTGCTGCACCCAAAGCTGGGTCATGGAAGTATGGAATTATGGTCCAACCAAGACCACCAAACATTTGGTAGAAAAAGGGAAAAAAATTTCACAAATAGCACTTCTAGGAAGTGGAAAAATTCCAAGTAAAATATTGATAGACCAAAATATTTGTAACGATCCAACCGATCATTTTGAGATCTAGCATTTTGTCCTGTGATTTGAGATTTTGAGTATCTTCATATAATTTATTATGACTTGCGAGCATGGCTGGTTTTTATTTTCGAGAGGTTCGAAATTGATTTGGAAGAGTAATCCATAATTTGTAAGCTTAAGTTGGAAAGAGTTGATCAAGGTTTGACTTCTATGTAACGACTCCGAATTGGTGTTGTAAGGTCCCAATAGGTTCGTATGATAATTTTGGACTAGTACGTACATTTGGTTTGGGTCTCAGGTGGCCCGAGGATGATTCGGTACTTCTATTCGAAAGTTGAAAATTTTGAATTTATGAAAGTTTGAAGATTTTTATTTGATGTGATTCTTGGTTTTGATGTTGTTATTCGTGTTTTGAGACTTTGAACAAGTTTGAATAAGGTATATGAACTTGTTAGGATGATTGGACGGGGTTCCAAGGGGCTCTGGTGATTTCGGATCATTTCGGGTCATTTTGGGATTGTTGATTTACTGATGTGTTGCATGGCATCGCAATCGCGGAAGGGTATCTGACAATTGCGGAGAAGGAATGTGGGGCAACAGAATTTGTTAAGCAATCATGAAAGAGGGGTGGCGATTTGCAGAATGGAGTTGGGAGTGACGCATTATGATCCCTTAGTGGCGCCGCGCTCGGAAGAGGGGCTGGACCAGGGGTGTGTTGTGCATCACGATCGCGTAAGAGGAAGCTTGGATGCGCAAGCTTGGCTTTCGCGTTCATGTAGGGCCGATCGCGTTTGTGTAGAGGAGAGGACGGTTGGCCTTCGTGATTGCTAAGGCGTGTCCGCGATGGCATAGAAAAGGATTGGAGGCCGTGCTGGTTTATGCATCACGATCAAGTGACTTGGCGGTCACGATTAAGGATTTCTGGTTAGGGGCAATTTTAGTCCAGATTTTCAGGAAAAGGTCTCATTCCATTATTTTTGACTTGGGAAGCACGAGAGGAAAATTTTTTTAAGAGGAATTTCATTGCTACTATGAAGGGTAATTGCTTTCTACCTAGATTTGGTCATATATCTTGATCCCAGTAGATTTCTACATTAAAATATGGAATTTCAAAGTGAAATTTGGACTTGTACAACTTAAGAGAGTGAATTTTGAGGATTGGTGTACCGATTTGGACTTGAATTTCAAATCTAATCACATATTTTTCGACACGACAGGTTATGGGTCCTCGAGATTTGGTATTTAGTTTGGGATTAGCTCAGGTTAGCTTTTGTTGTCTTTTTGATAATTCTTCAAAAATCAAAGCTTTATTGACTGAAGTTGCTCGCTGTATCATTGTTTGACTTTCTTGGAATGTTTGGCTTGGAATTACGTGATTGGAGGTCAAGAACAAGGTTTAGACATAATTTGGGGTTGATGACTAGCCGTATAAGGTATATACCTTGCTTAACTTTAATTGAAGGAATTCTTACTACTAAATAATATTATTTGCTACATGCAGGGGTGATGTATATGTAAGGTGATGAATGTATATGTTGTATCATGGTTATTCATGCTCGGGGGTAGATTCTAGACTATTTTATGACTTGTTTGATTGTATGTTCTACTTTAATGTCTTACTCGATCAAATGTATGTAAGTACAATAAACTATGATAGAAATAATATTTAGGTTAATGATACCTTATTTTGGGCATGATGAGCCATTCTTAAGATTGATTATATACTTGATTTGTTGTAGTCCTACATTGTATTATGAACACATATTCACACATGTTAATCTTGTGATATGCCTCAAACTGTTGTATGACTATTTGAGTTCCCTTCTTTATGTTAGAGATCATGTTTAGGCCTTTAATTCTTAATTAAACATAATGATTATTTGGAGGATGTATCACATGTCAAAGCTATAGTCATATACTACATGCATGAATATATCATGCATATAGTTCATCTCTTATTCACATGCATACTTCCCTGCATATGGTCCCCTAATATGGACCAAGATTTGGCACGTAAGTTGTCTGTGCAAACGAGATAATTATGGCATGAAGTTTCTATTATACAGTGTTGTGATATTGATATATTATTGGATGAGGTTTCTGCCGTACAGTTATTGTAATATTGTGATTACTATGGCATGCAGTTTCTTTCGTGAGGACATTGTGTTATTGATATTATTATAGCATGTGGTTTTTGTCGTCTAGTGTACGAGGTTTCTGTCGTGCACCATATAGATCTATCCCCCTAGCATCGCTCTCTCATGTTTCTCTCTTGATAGCATAACCATAGGTTGTGAGAAACCAACGGGTTTCTGGTTGATTATGATGTGGGATCCGATGTGATGAGTTTTGAGAATAAAGGTGAAATCTTTGACTGTTCAAGTGAATTCTTTGGGAATATTCACGCATTTTACACACTTTATTCATGCACATCTTCTGCATATGCTAGTTGATGCATTATATATACACATGGGACTTACTAGCGAGTTGTTGGACACCTGGAGAGTATCAGATTGATAAAAAGGGTGAGTATTATCATACAACGACATGTTGAACTCATGTAGAAGCATTCATGTAAATGCTATTTGGAAATTTATGAGAAAATGGACTTTATCATGCATAGTCCTTAATGATCATGTATAAGTATTTGAAATAAGGCTATTTTATGCAAATTGTGTGGATACACAGATTTGGTGCATTCATACATGCTTTTATCTAGTTATTTGAAAGGCACGTTTATTACCTTATTTTTGATTTGTTCACCTTATTATGGACATCTAATGTTATTTGGTCATTCCTCAGATATTTCTTTGTTATTATACATGCTATTGAGCTGCAGGTTATATATAAAGTATCTTTTGACTTAAAAACCTCGTCACTATACTTCAATAAGGCTTGTCAAAATACTTACTGAGCACATAGGATCGGTGGTACTTATACTACACTTTTGTATCTTGCGTGCAGATTTTACAGTTGGGCTATTATGGATAATGAAGGCTAGCATTGAAGATGTACTAGCATTCCAGATGCAATCTACCACTTTGTTCATGGTAGTTTAAGACTTATAATTCTGCTTATGTACATTTCAAACAGATGATATAATCCTTCTTCATATTAGTGTTGTATTCCTATTCTTAATCGCCCGTGACTTGTGCTACCAATTTTTGGGATAGTTCTATTGATTTTCGCATTTATATTTATTATTTATTGATGATTCCTTGTTAGAGTTGTGTAATATACTATTTACATCACGACTAGGTGAGATTTGGATCTTGACAAGTTGGTATCAGAGCTCTAGATTTATAAGTTCTACGAGTAATGAGCAAATTCCTGGTAGAGTCTTGCATATCAGTATGATGACGTTCATACTTATCTTCGAGAGGCTAGAAAGCATCTAGGAAACATCTCTTTCTTTCTTTTCGTGCGAACTTATTTAAGCTTGAAGTATATATTTTTGGTTTCTTTTCGTTTATTTGTATGTAATGTTAAGTATTCAATATCAGTTGTGCATCGACAACTCGTGATGTTATGGATGAGATGCATGGTGTTTCTACGCTGTGAAGGTAGGATAGTCTAAAGGACTTAAGGCCATGTTTAGATCATAGCTTTGGCTCGGCAAATTCAGTTATGCGAGCATGTGGCTTTGGATTCTTATGACTGGTAGTGTCCCTAGTGGTGGGATTGATGGCTCTGTGAGTGTCAAGATAGCTATGTGATGAGTATTATGTTACTAAGTACTACGCTTAGATAGTTTGGAAGTGCGAGAAGGATTTGCTTGAGATGCAAAAAGGAATAAGGATGTTTGATTATCATCTTGGTGGTTAATATAGTCTTGAGTTGTGGCATTGATGGACCTTTCAGTTGTTCATAGTGGTGTAACGACCCGGCCGGTTGTTTCATGAGTTACAGCCCCGTTTCCCCCATTTCCACTTCTTTATGTGTTGTTCAGCTGTATTTCATTGTATTGTGTTGGTTGGTTCGGGTTTGGAGTGGTCTTAGAGTGGAACGAGATACTTAGTCACTAATTTAGAAGCTTAAGTTGGAAAAGTCAACCGGATGTTGACTTATGTGCAGAAGGTCTCGGATGTGAATTCTGATGGTTCGGATAGCTCCGTTAGGTAATTTTGGACTTAGGAGCGGGTTCGGGATGTAATTTGGAGGTCCGTGGTAGATTTAGGCTTGAATTGGCGAAATTGGAATTTTGGCGTTCTCGGTCGGCAGTGGAAATTTTGATATCGGGGTCGGAATGGAATTTCAAAAATTGGAGTAAGTCCGTTATGTCATTCATGACGTGTGTACAAAATTTCAGGTTATTCGGGTGAGTTTTAATAGGTTTCGGCATCGTTTGCGGAATTCGGAAGTTTGGAAATCCTTAGGCTTGAATCCGAGGGTGATTTGGTGTTTTGATGTTGTTTTGAGTGCTCCGAATGTTTGAATAAGTTTGAATGGTGTTATGTGACTTGTTGGCATGTTTGGTTGAGGTCCCGAGGGACTTGGGTTGATTTTGGAAGGTTTATGGATCAAGGATGGGATTTGAGGAAGTGCTGAAGATTTCCTTTAGCTAGAATAACCGCACCTGCAGAGTGGGGACCGCAGGTGCGAGGTCCGCAGAAGCGCAAGAGCAACCGCAGAAGCGGTTAAGGCCAAGGAAGCAAGAATCTGCAAGTGCGGAAAGAAGAGCGCACCTGCGTGATCGCATGTGCGAGTATTAGGCCGGATAAGTGAAAACCGCAGATGTGGTTGG